CGAGTGGGATCTCCCACGCCTAAAAGCCTCAATTGGCTTCGAGGTGAGGCTGTCCCGACGCTTGTGTTCTTTGAGTGGCTCAGGTCCCGTGAGTATAAACTGATCATCGCTGTGCAGGATGATTTCCAATATTTGGCCTCGGATGACCAAGATACCGGTGAGGCTTTCACGTATGTATTGGGAAATACAGTATTCTGACTATCCTTTGTTAAGAATTCTTCGATGTGAAGTTCTATCCCTACGCAGACGCCACACACGATCCGGTCTTCGCTGCGGTCAGTAAGAAGCATGTTGTCATATATCGGCTTTCCAACAAATCCAATCCCCCTTACGAGCTAGTTCAGCTCTTCAGGGATGACGATGTGAGTTGTGCCGTTGTGCCGTAGTCTACCTCACAGGCAGCGCAACTTACCCCAAAGTAGAAGGAAGCCTTAAATTGCAGCTGCACTTGGACTAAAGATCCCGAGACCGAAGTCCCCTATCTATGCGTAGCCGGCAGAGACGCCAAAATCAAGGTCTACGATGTTGTTCAGGGGAAATTAGTCAAGGTCAGAAAATCATTTATAATCATCTATAGCAAATATACCTTACTAACATCTCATACAGGTCCTTGTGGGCCACGGAGGAGTAAGTTTTATTACAGATCGGCTGGAATAATGAACTGACAGCCCCTGGAGGAAATCAACGATCTCGCGACATGTCCGACGAATTTCCTCTTGATTGCATCTGCTTCAGAAGATACTACAGTACGAATATGGAGCCTAGATCCCGCACATTCTAAGCAACCATGCGTCTGCCTTCTTGCTGGAGAAGGTCATTCGTCAGGTTTATTGACTGTCGTATGTGTCTCTACCTGCTTTATGGCTATTTTGGTGTTGACTAGTATCTCTCAGGCATTCCATAACAGTGGGCGATATGTTCTCTCCGCAGGTCACGACAACGTTATATGTCTGGTATGAAGTCAATTCCCCAACCAAAGATATAATGTGAATGTATCTTATTAACATAATCCAGTGGACGCTTCCTGACTTGCCCCCCGAATCCAACGGCAAGAACCCCGCGAAACCTATCGTAATACATTATCCTCATTTCTTTACCTCCGAGGTGCATAGCGGCATAGTAGACTGGTAAGTGATCATCTCATCTTACAAGATTGTGGAAGTGTGGAAGAAAAGCCACTAAATAGATCAGTGTCGCTTTCTTTGGCGATCTCATTCTTTCGAGAGCTTGCCACGAAGATATAATAGTGCTGTGGCGAATCGAGGGATTCTCTTCTCATGACCCTCCCCCGGAAATTTCTGAGGCGCCTACCACGAGCGATACAGAACGTCTAACGCGTTCTGCGTTTGCTCCCGCAACGGCATCGGCATGTCCTCCTCAGTACACCCGTCTATTAGAATTCTGGACACCAAATTGCGGCCACCAGTTCTACCTTCGCTTCAAACTATTTCACGACAAGGACAAACACCCAGTCCTAGCATTTGGTAATGCGAAGGCTATGATCTTCTTCTGGGATCTTGCTCGCCTGGGAAGTTATCACAATTTCATCAGCGAGGTCCGCAATCCAGAGCGCGATAAGTCCCAGCCAATTCAACGTCCGGGTTGGCTAGCCCCAATTCAGCACAGACACAAAGGTGACGCCGTCAGCAAGCTTAAGGACGCTGCTAGTGACAGAGAGTCGGTCGCATCGGGACGCACCGGCAGTGTCGAGGTTGAGACGCACTTGGATCTCAACACGAACTATTCGCAAGAGACAATTGAATCGTGGGAATTGAAGTACGATATGACACGCGTGGAGGAACCCATCAGAGCACATTCCCAGAGCAATATCACCGTCAAGGACTTTGTCGGACGCCAGGTTGCTTGGAGCGCTGGGGGTGAGTGGTGTGTTGTGGTTGGTAGTAAGAATCTTGCTATCATCCTACAGCGGTGGCATAAGAAGGATAGAACAGAGGATAAAGATAAAAAGTCAAACAGTCAGGACCGTCAGAGTTAAGACGGCGGCAATTTACAGAGCTGTCAACACAATTCCGATCCACTGTCATTACCTTATCTAGATACCTACCTACCTCCTTTATCAAACAGGAAGACATGGTTATACATTAGGTACATCATAACTATAATCGAATGAGCACCAATCTTTACTCAGTGTGTCACGAGTAGTTGAGTTCGTAGGATATTCTGAAGAAATCGTGTGACATTTTTAACTCCACCGTCCCGGCTAGCCTAAGGGAATGACGACGTTCAAAGGTTCAACGATATACTTCTATTAGACCCCTCCCCATACCATAATCACGAAACACTCTATCAACCACCAACCAATCAACCACACAGGTAGTAGAGGACCGACTTCGTCAACCAGTACTCAATACGCTTAAGTTGCCTCTCCTGCCATTGCCGACTAGATGCAGTAAGGTATGTTATTGATGTACTGGCACTTGGTGCCCGTAGCGCAGTCTCCACCATCCTGCAAACCATCAGTGACTAGAAACTAATAACATACATACGTGTGATGTACGTACAACGTAGAAACCCTGGGCATTGCAGACGAACCAGCCCGAGAAGTCGGGCTTGCAGATGTAGGAGATGGGTTTGCACGTCCAGGTGTTGTCCGAGCTATTCCAGGGCTTCGTGGGAACAGTGGGATCAGTAGTATTCAATGAAGTCGTAGGATCGGTGGGATCGGTGGTACCCGGGTCGGTGGTAGGATCGGTGGTGTTCCAGGAACTTGTAGGGTCGGTGGGATCGGTGGTGGGATCAGTGGTATTCCAGGAGCTTGTGGGATCAGTGGTGTCCGTACTGTTCGTAGTACCGGTGGTGTCCGTGGGGTCCGTAGCGTTCAAGGGGTCTGCCACGAACGGCGCAGCGAGAGCGGCCGTGACAAAGGCCATGATTGCGAAGAACTTCATCTCGAAGTTGAAGACGGTGATGTCTGAGAGGTAAAGGAGGTTATGGTGTATGAGTGTTGAGTGTTGATCCTTGGAGAATACAGTCGCTTGAACAGATAATCAGGTATCGTCTGATCTGCTCCTTTCTTATATAGCACCAGAATAGTATGAACGGGCTCTCGATAGGACGTATTGTGAGGCAGCCGCCCCAAGATCGCAGAACGTTTATCCTCCTGAGAGTTTGTTGTGGTGCATATCGTCGTAATTCGCTAAGAGAACGTAACGTCTCATACTGTTATGAGAAACAGGAGGCTAATCAACCACTCAAACAACTAGAATAGGGGGTCAATCCTACACATCACGATTGTTGAGAGCCCCATCTGGGATGTCAGTCTTCAGGACTTCAAGATCAGACTGCCTATGAAACTGGATTAAGAGTTCCTGATCAACCTATCGGATGAAACGCCCGTCATGTTATTCGTACATCAACATCGGGCTAAGTCGACATGATATGACCTATTTGGCCTAAGCCGCCGCTCGCGAAAGCATGCGAGCGCTTTCCATGTGATGAAGTTTGTAGTAAATCCCACTGACATTCATCCCCTTCCGTTGAAAGTTAGGTATGTAACAGTCCAGTTCTCTCTAGCGTTCGACAAGAAACTTAATAGAACCCAGAGAATAATTAGTGCGGTTCTCAAGCTAGAAATGAGTCCTAGAGTTTTGACCGTGGATCAGAAACCGTTAAATTTACCCACGCGGACACGGGCCGTCAGAGCGAGTTGACGTTATTAGTGTACGCGTAGACTACGTGTGCTTCAAGGTATTAGTAAAACGCACGCCTGTCTTGACATTAGGTTCCTTCTTGCCTTAGACATGTAACGTTAGATTTTAGAGACTTGCGATGTAAACTCCCTTCCAGTAGGTATTCTTGTTTCTCTCAACCTCGAGAAATGCTCATGCTCGAAATCCCACGAGCTCCTATACAGCGCACAGAGAGAATCTATCCCATGTGGGGATGTCTGAGGTTCTTATACTTGCGCTAATGTCGACGCTATAAACATCTATAACGACGAATCCAGAACCCTTGATGCGAGAGCTGATTCCTACTTAAGTACCCGTCCAATGATACAATAATGTCATGTGAGAAAACGGGGGCAAGACAACGGGATGCGGCTCCCTACAGGAGGCATAATTCAACTTAAGATACATGTAGTCACTTACGTTATGTTATAGCAAGACACATGAAGGAAGACACATGAAGGAATAACCAACTAGCCTCTATGAGTGGAAGCATCCCCGCCTTGTCTAGAAACTCGCACCTACCTTGCGGCCCACCTGCATTGGAAGTTCGATATAGGAAGGCTTAGGGAAAGCGCGGTCAAACTCATAGACCCTTCTCTACTACATATGTATGTAGCTAGTAACCATTTGATCTACTGGTTCTTTCTTACTGGTTCTTTCTTGAAATTCAGTCTAAATGTGAGGCTCAAGCAATATCAAGCTCCAGTCCTACGGGTCCTTTTTTATACCCCATCACCGGATTCCTAACATTGCCCTGCTATGTCATTTATGACTTCGACCTCTTCTGTTTCATTGGGAGCAAAGTTACCTATTACTACCACTATTCGTATTAGGCAATGTTGAACGGACCAGTGGAAGTGCCAGGCTAACCTCCGAGCTTAGTGATTGTATCATCTAACATGCATGCATCCATTCCACTGCTAGTGACAACAACGCGTCTTCCGGACCTAGCCCGTGGCCCCGGCCCTTATGACGTACTCACGCAGCACATTCATTCTCTGATGCAAAGCGCACCCAGACTCAGCTTTTACCTAGTACTCGCCGCCGTGTTGGGATTATAGTCAAGCCCGTCAAGTCAGCCACCTTGATGGCTACCTTACGTACACGGCGTACGCCTTAGTTCAAGTTACGTTGTGACCATCGCGAAGAAAGCGGGGCTGATTTGTGCGTACAGTGCAAGGACCAGATGCCATCTACGATCTTACTGTCCGGGCGCACAAAATTATATAGGCTACAAAAAATGCCGCATTTCCACGAATCAACCACCCTCCGACAGAGTCGGTCGTTGGCTAAAGCTCCCTAGGGAGTCACGGGCTTGTGGTTTAGTGGTATAATACTCCCTTAGCACCTACAGCACCTACAGCATCTATAGCATCTACAGCATCTACGATCTATCAGATCCTGTGTATGGCTTGGGAGTGGTCCGGGGTTCGATTCCCCGCGAGTCCAGCAACTGGAGGTTAGATTCCTCCTGTACCATCCTTTTTGACGATATTTGGCATTATTTTAATTTTTAATTTTTAATTTTTAATTATTTTATATTTGTTCTTTGTTGTACATACATGTAGCGCCTTATCTGCGACATTCTTCTCTATATACATGTAGCTTTACCTGCCAGTTCATCGCTGTGTGCGCCTACCTAGAATTTATTTACTTGAAGTATTAAACACTATTATAATTATTATTCTCTACTCGGTCTTTGTCGGGGTCTTTGCACCATTGGCTTCATGGTACACCCGCCATACATATCTGCATATGAAGCTGCCCTCGTTCGTAATCGCAACATCGTACAACACATGCTGGACTCGGCGATTTCATTCTTGGCCAGTACGTGTCGTCTACTACGTTACCGTTCGGGCGATGGCAGTTTTCATGTCGCGCGAGATGTGATGAGGCCGGAGACTGCGAGGTTTGCTGGCCCGCTGTGGCGTCATTCTGAGTTGTAATTACTTTGAGAGACCGGCTAGGGACTTTTTAGGGCTGATAGAGCGGGTTTACTGGTATCGTTGACAAACAACGGGAGCAAACAACACCTGGGTAGGAGATGCTGAGTCCAAGTCTCCTAGTTGGGGAATTGATGGGGGAAATCCGAATTCCGAAGAAGTAACACGTTAGTAGAAATCAAATACAACGATTCGACAAGCTTGAAATGCTTTACTTTGCGAAGTTGTATATCGGTGACTTGAGCCTGTGTAATCACCGGTCTATCGACTGAACGGGATTAAAGTCAGACATGCATATATCTTTCGGAATACAGTAAGCGAGATGCGAAATACTTGGTTACCGTCGATAACTTCATGTTGTTAAGCTAAAGGTCCGCTTGCTTAGGTGTCTGTTAGGTAATGTATACAAGGACCGATCGTAACCCGTACAAGTTTCATCTACTTTGGATTTGACGAAAGCTGAGCAATAAGGCTGACAACGGCGCAGATCGGCCTATTCGGTGATGGAATCACATATCTTCTAGACATAATTCTTCAACAGTCTCTAGTTAATTGGTTTTTTTTGTCTTGAATGGCAAGCAAATACATGATAAAAATAGTGTCTTCAGCAAAATCAAGCGACGGCTCAGCACAGTCGCGCGGCAAAGACCATATCAAGGCCTGGCGTTTAAGGACGGAAATAGGAAGCTCAAATGATTTTGTTTCAAGTTCGAATGTCCATGCCCCACCAGAAAAGTCTACTGATTTAGTGACCAATAAAATCCCCCCATTCCCCAGCTGCTAAAGATCATCGACATGGGGATCCCCGATACTCCTGAAAATCCACTCGGCCATCTGGACCACTAGAGCGATCTTCTCGACAACAGGTCCTTCCCAAACCTGCATCGAGATTCTTCAACGCTACGGCCCGACGGCCGTTGTACAGATCTTCGGCGTTTCTTCACCTTGGCTGATGGATGCGGAGCATGAATCTAGGCCTATCCTTCTCCATTTCTTCGGCATGGAGTTGATCGCTAACTTGCTAGTAAAACAGACCGTTCCATACCTCCTGAACGATCCCATTAACCAACCAAGGCGCCTTACCATGTCGGCCATGCCTACATGGTGCCGGTACCTGCTGGTTTTGACAGGGCATAGGAGTTTCCTACTATGAGCACCAATAAACCCGATACATTACGTAGTAATTCAGCCACTCACTGTGTCTCTTGTGGACCGTTTTGCTCGTGATTCCTTCGAGGCCCGAATAAAATATCTTTGTTTCCCGCTTACGTCTCATAAACTATCACAATGAGCCTATCCAAGTCACAGGTCACCCTTTCTTTGGTTTCTTTTCTTGTCACCTAGCACCGACTGTTCTTTCTCTCTTACTTCCTACTTATTCCTTTTTTACTCATTGTAGGATTTAGACAATCATTACAGTAGTCCATTGTTCAACCCTCTCCCACATTGTGAGATTTTGTCACTCATTACCTATTGGATATCCTAGAAGACGACCTCGTCACCTTCGCCGTTCCCTACAGCAAACTGTGAATTTCCTTCCCTTCTTTGGCCCCCAAGACCATTCGCTACATTACACCTAGTGTTCCCCTTGATCCTCAAGAAGTGGACGTACAAGAGATTGATTGAGAGTACAAAATAACACCTGCAATTTCTGCGTATTTCATAGACATCGAGGTCGCTGGGCGATACAGTTCTTCTCATCAAGACAATCTAGCATGTATATCAAATCTGTTCACGCTGCCGCGTTGGCAGCAGCATTTACACCACCGAAAGACATTAACATCAACGACCAAGGTAAGTCCATAGATTCCGAAGTAATAGAGAGATACATATACTAATTCTCATGCAAGCGTCCGTACGCAGTGTTGCTAGCACTCTAGCATATGAGTTAATGGCTTGGTACACCGGCAATGTTACCAACACTCCAGAAGTATGGCATACGAGCCCCAAAATTTCGGCGTTATCTGAGCTCCAGCTAACCTATTGTCCTGTAGACTATTGCTGTTTTCCCCGAACCATATTGTGAGATTTACTAGCTCATATCCTTATTCAACAATTACTAACCTCAGAAATAGATTGGTGGGAAGCAGGTGCCGCTTGGGGAGCTATGTTGGATTATTCGCACTACACGGGTGATTCCAGCTACGATGAAGTCATCACGCAGGCCCTGTTAAGCCAGGTTGGACCCAAGTTTGACTTAATGGTGCCGTTACATTACGGCTCAGAAGGGAACGACGACCAGGTGTTTTGGTCTTTTGCTATTCTTAATGCCGCCGAGCGCAACTTCCCTCAACCCGACGATAGTATTCCCCCTTGGCTCGATATAGCAGAAAATACTTGGAACACAATGGTTGTCAGGTGGAACGAGTCCAGTTGTGGAGGTGGACTTGCTTGGCAGATCTTCGAGTCGAATCCCAACGGGATGAGTTACAAGAATAGCGTTTCCAACGGCGGCTTTTTCCAATTGTCGGCACGCCTTGCACGAGCAACCGGAAATGATACATATCTTCAATGGGCGCAGAAGGTGTGGGACTGGTCAGAAAAAGTCGGTTTCGTAGATGACAAATTCAACGTTTACGATGGGGCGGATAGCAAGGACAATTGTGCAGAGGTAAACAAACTGTCATTCTCGTATGCGCAAGGAATCTATCTGTACGGCGCCGCGGTCCTGTACAACTACACGAATGGCAACAAGTCGTGGGAAAACCGTACTTCGGGCCTTCTGAAGGCGGCGGACTCTTACTTCAGCCCTTACGAGAATGCGACGAACATCATGTACGAGCATGCCTGCGAGCCTTACGAAGTCTGTAACAACGACATGAAATCGTTCAAGGGTTACCTCTCCCGCTTCATGTGGGCGACGACGCGGATGATGCCTACGACGCTGCCGCGTATCCAGACGCTTCTGAATGCCTCTGCTATTGCTGCCTCGAAGGCCTGCTCTGGAGCTACGAACGGCACTGTGTGCGGACAAAAGTGGTATGTTGGTGGTTTTGATGGCGTGACTGGACTTGGTCAGCAGATGACGGCGCTGGAGACTGTTCAGGGACTACTTGCCCAAGAGGCACTACCTCCCTTCAAAGCCGGTCAGATCAAGCACGTCAAGGGCTCCGATAACACTCCACCGACGGCTAATACTTCATCATCACCAACATCTAGTCCCACGCCCACTAAGAGGTCGAACGCCGCGGGCGACGTAACTGTTGAGCGGCAATTGATATTGCTAGCCCTATGCTCAGTTTTGGTTATGGCATTCATATGATAGAATGATTATGGAGGTATTAGAGAAGAGGCATTGACATAGCAATTGGCGTTTGGGTTCCCTTGCTTTATTGAGGGTCGTTGGGCACCCCTGACTTTGCATGATACCACATTTACCTTCGAAACTCTATGTATTATTGGTGACTGATAGATTCCTATGGATAAATTCATATACAGAACATTCTTCGATTACTCATGAGATATTAAATGAATAAACGTTTATACTTTGGCTTCTCGGCCTTTTGCACTAGGCCATCTCGTCTAGTCTATACATGTAGGTAATTGGGAACACTTGTAACTTCCTAATATACATCTTGACTACTATAAATGGGGAGGGCATGGGTACACTCACCCGTCCTGCCTACATATACATAAGGTAGTAATTATCCTGATTGTAGACTCCCTCTTTTTCCAACATTGACATTCAACATCGAATTTTTATACAGTGATTTCTCTGCAGTCTATAGACTTCGGTCTCTGATAATAGTTCATGCAACTCATATCCTTGCATAGAGGCGAGGCATGGCGGGAAGTCGGACGAGGATAAGTCGCGGGATCCATCGCGTGAAGCCACGTGTGGGTTGGATTGATCTTACCACCACCACCACCACCACCACCACCACCGTCCGTCTTGCGGCAGACCGGAATTTCCTGCTGGTAGCTGGTGACCAAACATATTGGATTGCACTCACCCCTAGGCCAATGCTTGGTCATGCGTATCTTTTGGCCACTTCCGTACCGGAAGTAGCGATGGTAGGAGTAGCAATGATGAACCCGCTCGTCGCGGAAGAAGCGATAGCTGATCCATGGATCTGTAGCTGCATACCCCTTGTCGATGCCAGTTTCGTAGGAAAGACAGCTGCATTTTGTAGGCGCAAAACACACCATTTCGGGCAGGGGGTTCGAAGGATACGAAGGCACTAATATGCCGCCGGGCCCTTCGCGATACCTCCGGAACAGCGCTCGTACCTCCGAGACAGGGGCCCGTCCATCGGGGGTGAGAGTAAAGGCGTCGGGACCGCTATGGGGTTTCCACTCTAGGCTGAGGACCACCGAGTTCTGGTCATCCTCGGCAGCTTCTAGACGGGCCTGAGGCCAGGTCGGGGACTCTTCGGCTGTGCAGCGTGTGTCGTGGCTCGGGTCGTGGCATTCGATGATGAAGTCGTCCAAGCAGGCTTGCCAGTCCTCGGGACTGCGTTGCTGCCAGTAGCTGATGTGAGCTTCGATAGTAGCCCATGGAATGTG